CCCCACCACCACCACCCCACCTCCTCTTGATATTAAAATTTAAAAGTTGGAGGCGAGGCAGCAGGGACCGTGGTCAAGGATGGACGAGCAGCCTCGGTTGATGCACTCCCACGGGGTAGGCATGGCCGGACACCCCGGCCTGGCGCAGCATATGCAGGATGGCACGGCGGGGACGGACGGAGAGGGAAGGAAGCAGGACATCGGAGACATATTACAGCAAATAATGACCATCACAGACCAAAGCTTAGACGAAGCACAGGCGAGGTGAGGCTATAGAGGGGGGGAAAAAAACACTTGTATTATTAATCGGAGAGCGGAAATATTAGGCAGTGTTATTGGTGATGGAGGGATTGTGGTTTGGATCTAGACTGCCTCTAAATGAAAGCAATTACGCCCACTGAAGTGCCGTGACTGCGCGAAAGCGACATAAGACCGTGAAAAACTTCACGTTTGATTATTCGAAACAACTTTCGAGTGAATATTTTTCCGTCAAACTATTCATTATTGTGTGATTATTGTAGATTGGGATGATCCGTGGAGGGGTTTTATAACTGTGGAGCAGTTGCCACTCCAGTTTCCCAGACACTTCTACCTTGTTACAAAGGAGCTTACACTGTAATCCTGTGCTATAATAACGTGTTGCAGATCCTCTCCTTTAGTTTGAACCCATTTCACTATCAAATAATGATAATAATAAATATCATGCAAAATACATTTTTGAGGCATGCTACAGTTGTAGTGTAACCGGCTGGATTTTGTTGCGTATTAGAAAAAATCTGGGTTTTCCAAAGTCTCTCATTGTGTATTTATGTGGCAAAAAATAATTAAATTGAAAGACTATGAATTCAGTGTAAATGTTATTAACATGTTTCTATTCTTTGGCATGTTTTATAATTGAGCCTGCTTCTTACAGCAGACACAACAGTGACATCTGGGCAGATTGAATCTTCATGATGATATTTTTGTGATTTGAGACTCTTTTAAGTTGCTTTGTTACTGTTACTGCCACTTGTTTGAATACTGATGTGGAAAGTGGTGTGCTGTCCTCTTTTTAGGAAACATGCACTGAACTGCCACAGAATGAAACCTGCTCTCTTCAACGTCTTGTGTGAAATAAAGGAGAAAACAGGTAAGTTCTGTTTTATTGTTTAGATTGTTTGCTGGATTTTTGCTCGCTTTCTACTGATACTGGTGAGAATATGGCACATTTGATGGTCTAAAAGTGTATTCCTGGTATCTTAGCATCATTGTTTCTTTTTTTTTCTATTATTCTTTTTTTTAAGAATATAGATTTAAATATACAAAGCACAGATCATTGTGACATGCCTCTCTTAAGTCACTGGAAATGCATTTGGCATATTGTTTTTATGATTTATGACATGTTTTCCCTGACAAACGTCACACACCATGCGTGTGAAAAGCTCTGGCCCCAGATGAGGTGCTGTCATTTGACTGGAGTGTTTTCATGCCGACATTTGGGCCTTTCTGGGGCTGGGCTTTCTCACCCCTCTCTGTCTGTTTTTCTTGGCCCAAGTGAGCTGTTTTAAAGGCAGGTCAGAGGGATTTTCTGTTTATCTTTGCGACGCGGGTCAAAGTCATGAAATGGAATGTGTGAATTATTACTCACTTAACAGCAGATTAAAAGAGGAGCGACTCACATGATGAAAGCCTGTGAACATCATCCGAGAGAGGTGGCAGTGCACTGTTTTTTTTCAGAGGGAGGAAATAAAACAAAATATCCAATATAACCTTATCTGTGAACACAACTTTGAAGCTGTCTTTGAGATTATTGAGAGTGCCTTGTCACTTTGTCTGGTGTTGTTGCATTCACAGCCATGACAGGTGAAAATAAACACAGGGCAAGTGTGGATGCAATACCATTTTCCTTAATTTTACATGAACTGTTATTCGCTGACATTTCATTCGTATGAGTCAGAGTTTGGCATGGGCTTGTCTAAAAAAGAAAGTAGAAGGAAGCAGGAGACACTTTGTGATTTTCACCAGATTTACAAAGGTTAAAGAGTGCGGTCTGTGAGGAGGAACTATAGTAGATTGGGGCCCTGTTTCTAAATTGCAAGGCTTGGAAAAGTGAGAGAGTAATGCCTGGCTCTTTGTAAACTGTCTGGCGTCTCCCTGGGTTCAACCAGAGTTCGTTTCCAAAAAGAAGAACAAAGTGACTTGGACCTTTTCCTGGCTTTTCCCCCTGCCTCTCCTCTCTTCCCACCGTTCTTGGCAACCAGGATTTCACAGAGCTTCTGACGAGAGAGGCTCCCCCTCAGCCTGCAAGTTCTCCTTTCCTCTCTTCACATCCAAGTTTGGAAATGAACATAATTCAACATAGTTTATATTTTCTCTTTTCTGTATGTATTGATTCTTACTCAAAGTGTGCTTAAAAAACATGCTCCAAACCCCAAATCAGCAAGCTCGTAAATAACTACATTGTTTTCATGAAGGCAGAAAGGCATTTAAAAGTTAAGAATAACCCAAAACAATTTATGAGAGAATCAAGTCTTAATGGCTGCCTTACTGTGTCCTCCCTGTCTACGTCTGAAGAGCTGAGCTGCGGCTCATCTTCGCCCATAGGAGGTTTGTGCAGACGAAACTGAAAATCCTTTCACTGCAGTGACAGAGAAAATGACTCAAACCTTCACCATGGCATTTACAGCCAAATGTGCTGAGTGCAGTGTATGCGAGCGGAGTACAGCCTGTAATTTGTCAGGTCTTTTTTATATTCTTTATAAAGAGTCAGCTTCTCCTTGCTTTTTACATTGTTGCAGTCAGAGTGTCTTTTAGAAGAAGTGCGAGCAGGAGGAGATGAGTGCAGCAGTTCAGGTTTGAAGCAGCCCTTCTCCTCGACCTTTTACTGAAGGGAGGATACATTTCTTTAGATCATATATCATGTGTTGCATGTAGGTATTCACACGTGTGTTGCATGTGCCTCCTCCTCGTGGTATATCAGTGGCGTGTGAGTGTTAACAGCAGTAATATGGGACATTGCAGCAGAGAGGTGTCCATTGGCAAGCAGCTGACAAACACGGCGGGAGTGCATGCCATTAGCGGACAGAGCAGGCCTTAACTGATGACCCCACCCCACCCTTCTCCCTGTATATTTGTGCCGGGGTCGGCCGCGTGTCACTGTGGGAGAGTATTTAGCAAGCTTAAACAAGCTCAGGTTCACATGCTGGGTTATGGAACACCAACGGCGGTGGATTGTGTTACCTCTTACAGACGTTCCTTTTGGCCGCCAGTGTTGTGTTTCACAAAAAAAACGTTTGCCCTGACTACCTTTTTTTTTAAACTATCATCATTGTTTCTACAGTTCCTGAGAGCACTTAGAATTAGTTTTCCTGTGTTTGCTTCACATCCTGTGAAAAGAGTTTGGAGAGCGTCTTTGTTTGTGTGGAACCATTACGGCAATGGAAGCTGGCACGTACAGGTTGACTAAGTAAGAGAAGCCAGACACCAAGTCAGTGTTTCTGGGTGTCAGATTTCAGGCCTACTCTCTCTCTCTCTCTCT